TAAATCCACATTGACTGATTTTCATGCAGGGAATATTTTTAACTGGTCCATATGATGAAACCTGTAGTTGTTCCTTTTTGTAACACTTCGATTTCGTTCCGGGTCGTCCCCAAGTAATCCCACCTTGTTCATGCCCGGCAATTGCCTCTTGGGTCACGGTTGCCCAGGTGTCTACAACCTCCTTTTGTTCAACAGTGATGGCAGCCTCAACGAGGCCAAGCGCCAAGCGCGCCGTCGCTTCTGGTGTTGCCATTGTCCATGTTTGGGTTATATTGCGTGATGACCTCAGGGTCCCAACCTTTGGGGGGAATAGGATGGAATATTTGATTCGCAAAAGTGTGACATATGAGCCATATGAATGTTGAGAAACTGTGTCGTTTTGGAGGGTCAAACAATCATTGAATCATCCTCATCAGGTATTGAAAAATAGTGACCATTCAAGAGATGTATCGTGTTTTCAGCATGTGTTTTGTTTTTGACCCAATTCGGGGGTTGTTGCCCATAATCTACTGCTGGGTGTGAAGACTTTGGGATTTTGTTCGACGGCGTCGTAACCCATTTGCAGGCGGGTGAAGCATACCTTTCTGCCTGCAGCCGCTGGCGGGGACGGTGAGATGCGAGATGTGCCACGCCAAGGCCAGGTGTTGCACTGCTCAGACGTGAAACCATATTGATCGGAGAGTGAATCTACTGAACAAATATGAAACCAATCGATTAATTAAGTATTGTTGGTCCATTTGGTGCCACTATACCGAGAGTATTAGATCATATCATGTTTTAACTATTGCAAAAGTTACTCTATTTCCCGCAAAATTCAGATGTTGAAGCTGATATTAGATTAAATGGTTCTGTTTTGGGACACTACAGAAGAAACCGCTGTATGACATCGACTGTTGAATCTTTGGGAATAGACTGGTTTTTGACATGTGTCGACCCACGATCCATGTCGTGCCTTTCGTGGGGCAGTGGGCCAGACAATAGACAGCCTTGGTTTGAGCTAAGTGCTCGGGCAATAAGCCGTTTCTGCCAAACTGTTGGTCTGACACGCGTGAGGTGGGTCAAAGCTCTGGCGGGTCGTTTGCAGTTGGTGTTGCAGTCTCCCAAATTCCTCGATGACTGGGGTGGATGCTCCCTTGACCATAGCTATGGGTGAGAAAAATCGCTGGTGGCGGGGGCCCAGGAGCCAGAGGTCTCAGGGAGCCCACGGCCAAGTCCCAAAACAATCGCTGGTCCTTGAGACCTCTCATTTCTGCTGACTTCTGGTGCTCAGAGTGGGGATGTTCCCACTGAAGATCCGGTGTCTTTCCTGATTCAGGAGGGATTCGCCCTTAAATTTGAGCGACTACGATCTTGAAATATCTTGATTGAATACTTCTTGTCTCCAGAATTGACCCTCCTCTCGTTCGCTTGCAGTGAAGCTTCATGTGACTTTGAACAGTGCCAAGCTTTCGCTGCGACCGAATCTTAAATCTGTCTTGTCCATACCATGTGCATTGCGACTTTGGATTGGCAATGAGCCAATTTCACAAAGTGTGCTGCAAACGGAAGGACAATATTCGAGGACCCTCAAACGAAGGTCTTCAATTCGCTAGCAGGTTGGAATACGCTTCAAAGTTACAGTGTATATATATATATATACGTAGTTCGGGTGTGCTTGGGATGTTGTTTATATGATTTTATATGTGTGTTCAATGGCCCTGAAAGAGAATCCACACGAATGGCACACTACGAAGGGTACAGACTAGATTGATTCAGTTGTGATAAAAGGATGCTCACATCCAGCAGATTTCCAAGCTGCTTGGTCCTGCCTCAATTTTGAACTTTGAGAGCCCCCCTTGGAACGAGTTTTGCGCGCTTTGCATCTGTCGCAGCTGAAAGAGGTCCGGCTTGGGGTGTTGGCTGCGGGTGTGGAATGGCTCCTCCGGTGCCTTACCGCTTCACAGGACCGGTGGGTCACCATTAGGCACGAACAGCTTATAGTAGGGGGACAGATGGGTTTTCTACCTGTTGACCACGGTCCCCTTCCAAACTTGAGACTTTTCGGAGAAGGAATCTCCAGGGGCCCGACGTATCCGATACACGTATCAAGTGGGCCCCGTTGGGATCAATGCAAAGCGCCACTGCCTTCGACCTCACGTGACAGAACCGAAGACAGAGGGAACTCGGAAAAGACCATAAAAGCTAGAATCTAGACTAGAAAAGTCCATTCTCTTTCAGCACATGCATTGAGGAGGATGGAGTCATTGAGTAATTTGATGAAGACAGGATCCTTTCAATGCATTTTGTTGTACACTTAGTATATTTGATGCTTTTGGAGCGGCCAGGGACCTTCGAGTGGCCTTTCTTTTTATTTGCCTCATATACTTAGCCACCTGCCATCCGAGGCCAAGATCAGTTGTCTCGCAGACCTGCGGACGGTTCAACGGCAAAGTCGTGCGAAAAGGATGTCTCGAGTGGAGAAACAAGGGCGCAATGAACAGGTTGGTCTAAAATATACGGTTAAACCAATCCCAAACCTACTTCATCAATTAGTTTTCTTGAAAGTACGGAGAAGTCCTGCGACAGTGAAAGCAGGGCAAACGCTTCTTGGAGGTCCAGTCCCCATTCAGGAATGCTTCTCCCAGCCAGAAACATCAAAACAGCCAATGTGTTGCTGCACAATCCGTTGGTTGAGTCAAAGTCGGGTGCGCATCCACAAGCCTAGAAGCCATCCTGGAATGCCTAGTTCAGACTTGTCCTCAAATGCTTGCAATGGAAACGTAGTAACATTTGTTGAACAGCCCACTCCCCAAGATGAAGCCTTGCATGTGCTCGCCTTTGACCTGTTTTGCTGGGGCAGTCTTGATTCCCATGCTCGCCAGGTTCAGCTTGGCTCTTGTAGCTGGAGTTGAATATGAAACAGATGGAACACAAGGAACATGTCAATTTCAAGAATTCACGCATACCATGAAACAACAGCAGTACACAACAGAGCTGAAAGCTTCCCAGATTTGTGTAGAAGCGGACCCACGGTGAGCCTGGCGGTTGGTTTAATCAATATGCAGTTGTACAGTGACACTAGCTAATACTATCTAATACTAATTGCTTCACGCTTGTTGCTTCCAAATACATGAGAAATCAAGTGAAATCATGTGAATTTATATGAACAATTCATACCTCACTCAGACTCAACCATCCCTTGGATTCCGAAATACACATGCTTGAGTGTGGGGGCGATCCCGCACCAGAGGATGTCACTTGGCGCACAGCTTGGGTATTGCCACATAACCTGCGCGTTTGTCGATCTAAAGATGTTTATTGCACACTTTTTATCACATGTTTCAAACTGGAAAGTTCCGGCGGTTTAGGGTTTAGGGTGTTCTCCGGTGTTTTGTAGTATATGGGAGAACGTTGCTCGTGGGCCCCAACAACAACGTGCAGTATATATACCTCTAGGATCGTGGACACGTTGCCATGTCCGTGCAGTTTCGGTCCATGGTAACATTGCAGTTGGTGACTTGCATTGATTTAATGGCCGGGCCATCTCAACGCATGATGCATTACGATTCCTGAACTAATCAGCAGGGACCCAAAAGAAACACCGTGGTGGGAAGCCTCTCATCAAAGAAAGGATTTTTGCCTGGTGGTTCCGCTGACTTCTCTCATTTATACAATACATGATTCCCCCTACAGGAAGATCTCGTGTCCCTTTGCCTCAGCCTTTGCAAGCGACCTCAGGGTGACAATCGGTGACCAGGTCCACCTGGTGCTCGGTACAGAGTCGAAGTCAACGAGCAGAACCTGAGGTTGCAAGATGTTCACCTTGGCACCGTGGCCTCAGGTCGAACGATTGTTTTCTGGTCGGACCACTGATGGTGTTTCTACTCCGGATATGAGAAAGAGGAGTTGGATGGAGTGGCTAAGTTGCTAATGAAACCATTGCGTTTTTTTTTAAATCTCTTTACGATTCTTTATGTCATTGCATGAATATGAAAGAATGATGACTGAATTGTTGGAAATAATTCCTTGTTGGTCCCCTTGGTTTCTTGGGTTCACTGTTGGTTACCTTCTGAAGTTGTTTTTTGTCCTTTCTCGTTTTGCTTCTCTGGCATGGTTGGCCTGAGATGTTGTGACCTACGCGTGCATGGTGCCCGCCACCGTGGCCATTCAGGCTTTTGGATCCTTGAGCAGTCACACACACACACACACGATTGGGCTCACACACAGACAATACCACACCACACATGACATCAAGAGGTACGCTCAAAGCATATCAAACTATTTGAAAGCAACTCCTTTTGGCTGTCCCGTTGAATTTGGAAGATGCCCAGCACTACCCTCCGCCCGATCGACATGAGACATTCATTGAAATTCCGGAGCCGCAAAAAAAGAAGCAAAGATATGTTTTTTGAAACATGTCATGGATTGAGTGCTGGTGGTTGTGCGAGTCGATTTGCAGTGAGAGAAGTTTTGTTTTGGACATGTACAGGTCAAGAGATTGGAGTTGGGGAGCTACTAGTAGCTCCTGGCATCGCTACTAGGAACCCGGGCATCGCTACTAGGAGCAAGGATGCTACTAGGGGCTCCTGGCATTACTACTGAACAAGAAGACTACTAGGAACAAAGCTGACTCCATCAACTTCAGCAGCCCATCCCCGAGTGCTTTTACGACTCGGTTTTTCTTGTGGCTGACAGACTTGCGGCCCTCCTTGGGGCAGCTAGCAATAGCCAGATTAATATGATATGATATGTATATTTATGTATACTGTAATACAATTGTATATATATACACTATGTATCATAAACTGTAGATGTATTATGTATCCAGGGGGTGCTGTCAGATCAATTTTGTACATCTTGAGCTTCAATCCAACAGCCCGTCCGAAGGTAGAGACGGATGCGTTTTCATTCCGAGTCCATCCCAGCCACACCTTCTCAGAAGGTATGCGGCTCCCGAAGTTGTATGAGTAGAGGATGACGCCTGAAGGTGTACTTCAGCTTGCAGCACGGGTTTCACCTCTATGCTGTGCAAACTTTGCTTCAACAAGGGCAAGGGCACAGAATTCGAGTGCAAGTTGTTATATAAGATAGGAAAGCCGTACCTTTTGGTTGCACTGCTGGACTGTCTTAGTGCACCATTGCACACAGCGAAAAGGGAGCAGACGGAGTCCGAAGTACCGTTTTTGCTAGAACTGTTCACAGACTCACTTCATTGCAAGTGGACCATTGCCACTATCCAGATGATCTGGCCACGCGGTGCAGAAGATGGCATACAGCATACATTGGCATACTGTTTAGGGCGTTTCATCGGCGTCCTGAATTTGCTCAAATCAGGGCATTGATTAGAGTTTCCTAGAGTTGTCCTGACCCAACTTGTGAGCTCTGAGGGCTCGCTTTGGACGATTGGAGCCATGCCAGTACTGAAGTATGCTGGGACATTCATTTGCGTGGAGGAACCGAGAAGCTTTGTTTTTTTAGGATGAATGATATGCACTAGATCACGCATGGCCCACCAGGTGATGTCTTGTAGATCTTGTAGAATCTTGTAGACTATGTACTGTATGAGTACAAGTTGTATCTTAAGCCCCTGGAGGCTGAAGGGAGATTCGTTCTATATGATCGTTCATGGTGTAGCGGGTTTTCTGGATCATCCTTTCACAGCGAACCAGGAGGAGAAAAGGATGGAGAAGCGAACCAGAAGCGTGCCGCCTGTATTGGAAAGGCCGTCTCCATCAAGGACTCGGACCCAGCTTCATCTGTTTATTTATTGATGTTTTATGGTCCAGTTCTTCTTTGTTTCTGAGCTGCTGCCCGAGCTGCCAGATCAGATGCCCAGGACCCAAAAGTACTTGTCTTCGTTGGAATCTCGCGCAGATGCTTTGTCCTTCCTTCCGGAGAAGCCGACAAGCAAATCCACAGAAGGCAAGGTCTCACAAGCTGTGTTCACTCGAACCATATTCATTTTTTTGGACTTAGATCGTGTTGTCCCTTCCTGAGCATGTCTTTGACTCTTGAAGATATCCTTTGCTTGTGTCAAAGGGCCGGCTTCGGAAGCCGGTGCTACTCAGAACGAGATGCCGCAGTCGATTTCACCTTCTACGGGCAGTATTGGTCATCCAGAATTCTGTCGAAAGCCTTGCATCCTCTTCAAGCATGGTCATTGTTACAAAGGTGCGAATTGCGAGCCTTTGCCACAAAGAGGGGAATGGTGGATATATAATGATATATACATATATAGTTAGAATATATATATATATATATGTAAGGGTCTCACACCATGAGACTGAATTGATGTGTAATAGTTAAAATTACATGCGCGCAGCGCAAATATCCGACATGTGTGCATTAAATTACACTGAGCAGCTCTCAAAAAACCTGTGGCATTTGCCTATGTCGTAAGAATTTGCTTACGCCACTGCTTACGCTGTGCTTACGCGATCGCAATGGCAGCTTACGCCGGAAGTTCTTGGAAGAAAGGGCTTACGTAACACTTACGCCAAGAAGTTTTAGCACCAGACCACAGCTGCAGCTTACGCGCCATCTATTTTACAGGCAAAGCGGACACAAAGAAGCAGTGAGACAACTACACTACACAGCAGAAGATGTCGAGGACGAAGACAAAGTTGATGAGATTAGCTGCAAGTGCTGGAACAGCAACCTGCACACGACCTGGTCTAGCTGTGTGACGCTGATTGCAGCAGCGCTGATCTGTTGGCTGCGGAAAACTTCTGACACAGAATCGCGTAGTTGACCCAAGGAACCCAACAACTGAGCACAAAGCACGTTTCCAGCAAATATATTTGGTAGAAAAGCCTGGCACTTGGCAAAGACTGGCATCTAATAATTGGTTGGTTACATCCTGGACAGCTGGGCAGTGAGCAGCAATCTGTTCGTAAACGGTTTGGACAATGCGTTGTCTTTGGCACCATTGCAGTTCAGAAAAGGATAGAAAAGGGATTTTGGATGCATCGTGGGGTACTCTTCATCGGCGACGTAAGCTTACGCGGGGCTTACGCGGATTTCCGACACCAAACCCCCAAACTCAGAATAACCGGAACTTGGTATAAACAGCCTGTGTGTCTTCGACCATACTTCTGTCTCTCAGGCATGCATGTTTCAGAAGTATACTGACCCTGTCTAGCGTAAATGATTTATGCAATGTTTTAAAAAGAAGCTTCAGCGGACGCAATTCCTATCTCCCACAAACAGCTTGTGCAACCTTACGCGCATCAGTGTTTTGCTTACGCGGAACATTCAAGCACACCACTAAACATGAACAGGGAGGTCTATAAGAGGCCAGAGAAGATGACACAACATGCTCACACGTAGAGACCGTGATAAGAAGGTGTCACATTCAACCTTTATTTGATGAAGATTTGATTGAATGAAATGCTCAATTTGCATTCATGGCGACTTCCCTTCTTCAAACTGTAGCAATCCAGGAAGTTACCACAAGAGAGGATGGTTTTCGTCCAAAGACATGCAGCTGACTTTAGAACAAAGCATTTGCATAGCACTACAATGGCAAAGGGAAATATGTTTTGCAAGCCTCGCAGCCACTCGCAGAGGAATATTGCCACTGCAACCACACCGGGTATGTGACTTGAATATACTTCAGGTGAGGGACATTGGTATGTGCGTTGTTTTTTGCATGTTGCATGTTTTTCTGCGTGTTCATTGGCACGACTGATGTGTAATTTGGCAGTGCATTAGGTAACTTGTAAGGGACACCTCCACTGTAGTACCATCGTCATGACAAACATGTCTTGCAGGGTCTCACAAGTGCATTCAAAAGAACGCGTACGTGCACCCTTACAGACTCTTGTTTCTAGCAATAACGCGATTTATCAGGGGAACACCTTTCAACGGCACGTAGCCTAGGCCCGCCACGCGGACCAAGTGTTCCGACACCCCCATTCCAGGCCGCATCCTACTTCTGTTCGTGCCTCTTTAGCCATATGCAAGCGTTCCCCCAGTTTGTAGGCTTTGGTGATTGGTTACTGACATCTCTCCCGGGTTGTCAGTTTTGCAGTGTCGTGAGTTCATGTCACGTCACGTGACTCGTCATTGGAAAACAAACATTTGTATCCTCAGGAATATTCCCTAAAGAATCAGACAACTGGGGTGTTCCAGAAACAGGCCATTCTTTGGTAGATTAGTTTGAACCTATTTTGTATTAGATGGTAGAGTGCCGTGATGATGGATAAATCCCTTTGGTTACAATCCTTCTGGAACAGTCATCATCATGGACTGGTACGTGTGTGGTGTGGGTGTTCCCATTCTTTAGGGGAGTCCAGGGTTCCAGGGAGTTATGTGCACAGTTCTCAACGTGTTCCAATCTTTTTAGTCCAGTGCCCAGTATGTGTGGGCAGAGGGCTGATTCTTTAAGATACAATGCTGACCAGTGGCCGAATTCCAAGGGGGATACCTTTGTTCAAGTAGCCGAAAGTGGAAGGAGTGAAGGAGGTGCAAGAGTTTTTATGGGTTAACCGTCAGCTTAACTAGAGCAGTGCCAAAGTTCGCAGCGGCGCCCTACGGATTCTAGCTAGGGTCATCAGGTCTTCCATCCTGGTGTCCAGGGGCTGCTGGGCGGCTGATGCCCATCCTAGGTTCCAAGAAATAGATTAAATTTGAAATGAAATGATCCCTTATGATCCCTTACTAAAACGGATTTGAATTTAGTGTAAATTCAATTGAATTTGAATTGAATTAGAATTGGATTAGAATTGAATTGGATTGAATTAGAACTCAATTAGAGTTGAATTTCAATTGAAATAGAATTGAATTAGGGTTGAGGTGGGGTTAAATTAGAAATGAATTAGAATTAAAATGGACTAGAATTAGAATTGAATCAGATTTGAAAGGAACTAAATACTAACTCAACAAGTTTTTTCGGTTAGCAAAATTGTTTAGTTTTATTTGGGGTACACCATTTTTAGGGTTTGGTGGCTTCATGGAGAGAACCCTTTCCAGAGTAGTTTCGAGCAGTTTTCAAGTTTTCTTTAAATACTGGATTTATTACAAACATGTTGTCAGAAGGTTTTGTGGTTTGATGATAACAAGTTGTGAGGTGAAGAGGCATTAATAAAGAAGGGACCCAAAGAAACAATTTGTTGACAAAGCAATGAAAGGAACTAAACACTAACTCAACAAGTTTTTTCAGTGAGGCAAATTGTTTAGCTTTATTTAGGGTACATTTTATTTAGGGTTTGGTGGCTTCATGGGGAGAACCCTTTCCAGAGCAGTTTCGATCAGTTTTCCAGTTTTGTTTTGTTTTTTTGTGTGTGTGTTTTTGTTTTTTTAATAAGTGATATATATAAAGAATTGTTGTCAGAAGGTTTTTTGTTTTGATGGTACAAAGGTGTGAGATGAAGAGGCATTTATCAAGAAGGAATCCAAAGAACCAATCTGTTGGCAAAGGAACGAAAGGAACTAAATACTAACTCAACATTTTTTTTCAGTGAACAACATTGTTTTGGTTTTATTGTTGGTTAGTTTTTATTTAGGGTGTGGTGGCATTAGGAAAAAATACTAGCTTTATTAAGGGTACGGGTACGCTTTATTTTGTTATGCTTTATATGTTCAATTGTTGTTTAATAGAGTTTGTGTGTTAAGTTGATTAATGGTTAATTGTTATTGTTGTTTTTGTTTTTATATTTATCAACAAATGTTATGTTTACGTTTTGTTTTTTGACTATTATTGTTGAACATAATCATGTCCATATATTTACTTATGTCTCAGGTATGTTTAAATCAATATGTTAAAAACTGTATGTTTTTTGGTTTTTAATGTTTCAAGTATGTTCTTTATTTTGAATTGTGCTAACTTTATTTTGGGTCCCTTTATTAATCATAGGTCAACATAAGTGATGTCACACTGTCATTGCAGCAAGCTGTGGCCAGGTGCTGGAAGGCAGATCAAACCATGGCATTTGCGGGCAAACTAGTTCAGATTTGCTGCAGCCAAGGTCAAGTTGGACAAATATCAGCGTGAAACGCTCCACGCTCTTTCGCCGCCACTTCGAGTCAGTGATGTGATGTCTCAAAACTAAAGCTGAACTGAAGAGCCACCAACACTTGCCAGTCTCTGTTGTTTGGTTGCGCTCAGGGCAAATTTGCTGGGCTTTTTGCTACCTCACCTTCGAGAGCGTGCAGTTTCTTAGCCCACGAATTGGAGATCAGTCAGACTCAAACAGCTCTTTTGCAGAGTTGTGCCAAATTGTTTGTGTCGCGAGGGGTTTGGACGATTCCAATACTTTAATCCAAGAAACAAATTGATCAACACATGTTTGCAAAAGGGCATGCCTGAAAGTTGCATGTTTGCACGTGTTGCAGATGCCGGGTGCAAGTCACAGCCACACATGTCATGTGTTTTGCAAGAACACAGCTGGCTGAGACGAAAATGGATGATCCCAATGCTGCTGAAGAGGCCAGAAGCATTACAATTGTTTATATTCAACGACATACTTATTGTTTCACGGCGTTGCACCAAACGTTTTCCAAGGTGGTTAACAAAACACTTGTTCTATGGTGTTTTCCCTAGCCGAAAGTATGACACGCCTGACACGCACCAGCAGCGGTTTACACTTGAAAAGCACTCAATGAAAACTACGCGGGCGTAACATCATCTAACCAGCAAAACAATATGTTCACGAAATGTTGGAGTTTCGTTGGTTTGTAGATTCGGGGGTCGCAGCATCCCAGTGGGGATGGAATACGTGTGTTTTTTTTTTGCCCGGATATGTTGTTTCCCCATGGGCCACGTGGGGACTCGCCGACGGACGGTTGGAAGCAGAACCTGAAAGAGTGGAAACCCATCCTGAAGACGGAGGGTGGATGAACAAACACCCTGTAAAATCAGTTTTTTGGTTGGCCTCCAGTTTTGGTTGCCAAAATGAAGCACCAACTCCGTGGTGGTTTGCTAAATGATTGCACTGCAATCAGTGAGTTGTACATGGTTCAACCATGTATCGTAGATGGTCTAATGTGTGTTTGCAACCTTTCCAAACATTTGAGTGCTGGAAACAAATCATCCAAAGAACAGTACCCTTGAATTCTTGGCTGCTTGTTGAATGATTCGACGTCGACGTATTGGTTAAAAGTTCTTGGGTTCATGGCCTTATCTGACTATCGGTCCGTTTTCTATCAGTACTTGGAGGACTTGCCCCAGGCATCCTCGACGCGATGTCATATACAATTGTTTGATGTGTGCAAATCAGCAGCTCTATAAAATCGAAAAAAACACGCAAAACTCAGCACCCAATGGCCTGCAATCGTTGCGAACAGCCTCAAACAAGTACGTATCCATTCGATTTTGGTTCTTCTCAGCTAAAGCACATTTGTGCACGACACTTTGCGTGTCCAAGCATCACTTGACTGCCTGCACTGAAAGCAATTTATACCATAATTGATAGAGCTGGAAAGAGGGGTGGCGGCATTGCGCTCACTTCGCAAAACGGGTAGGTGCTTGGGCTGATGGAGCAGCACCTCGCCCAGATGCCAAGCGAGAGGAACAACTGGATTTCTTTCTGGAAGTTCCTTGAAAGATCGAGTTATTTCGTCACAAATTCGAGGGAGACCGACCAGCTTTTCTTTGACGTCTTTCCACCTGTCGATTTGGGACCCCACGAGTCGACGGATGGCTTTATTTGGGAAGTTAGTAGAGCCTGGACCCTGGACCTTCCAACTCCTCAATTTCTGGTTGGTTGTTGTTTGGATTGCTTTGGCGGTTTTGGGATTGTGTTGCTGCAGTTTGCTGGCATTCTTTGGCATGTGTTTTCCCTCGGAGTTCATGTTGATATGCGATTTGCAGTAAAAATTGACTGCTAATAACACGGGTTTTGGCTTTGCAAGTTTCCTGAAAGCTGTGGAAATAGTCGCAGGGTTTTTGAGCTAGCAAGCGACTATCATTGGTGAATCTGAATCAGACTGATTGCAAACAAGTCTAAAAACATCCTTGTGACTACTTGTGACGTTTCGGCGTTTCTTGGGAGCACCGGCCAAAGCTTGTGACAGGTTGGCCAAATTGAATCGAGTGTTGAGCCAGATGAGCTGCTCGGAAGGGCACAGAAGGGCGGCTTTTCGCTGTGGACTCGTGCATCGACGGAGCATCGTCGTCGTAGCTGGAACATAAGTGGCACCTCGAAGCTTTGTGTATTTTTATTGCTCATTTGCAACAGCAGCAAGGGATACGCAGTTTGTTGCCTAGGTTTTCTCCGCTTGGTCAACCTTTGCCCTTGTCGCACGCTGCCACGCATCCAATATGCCATTGAAGTGCTGCAACAGCGGTGCAGCATTCGGGCAACAGCCTCCAATGTCCAGCATTCCTCGTCCTAGCTTTTTTGAAGGATTGGTTCTTAGGACAAGGATTGCTTTGGGCATTCTCTTTGCGCAAATTATATACTACTACAATCTACTACAGTATATCGGCCGCAGAAGCATTGTATACATGTTAGCCAGTGCAAACCAATTCCTTGCCGCCCGGACACAACTACTGTAAGCTGGTCATTGGCTATTGTTAACAGTTAACATTCTTTCTGAATGCCTGCAGCCAATAGATTGGAGAGGGCAGGTGAGGGTTTTTGGTAGCTTGGCAAGCTGCGGCTGAAGCTTTGGTGTGGGGCGCTCCTTCTTCTCAGAGAGTACATTGTGAATTCAAAGGCCTTCAAACAGATAGAAATAGACCATTACAAGAGCACTTTGCACAAGTAGATAGGTCTGCTTGGGCTGCTTTGCTTAATTTTTGCCCGTGTGCTTGTTTATATATGTCCTATTTAGCTGAACAGGTCACAGCTTGATCCTCTTGCGGCTTCCCTATTGAATTTGTAAATCTACAGTAGAAGCCTTCTCATGCTGGAGATAATAAGAATCAATGTATGCCTGCCCGCACACACGACAGCAGAGCACACACATGACTATAGTCAGTAGCTTGTCACAATACGGGCATTTTTCTGAGACGGCAAGACAGCCAAGCCCAGAGAGAGAGAGAGAGAGAGGGAGATAGAGGAGAGAGAGAGAGAGAGACACGGTTATCTATATACAGTGTATATATATATATACATATGTCTACAATATATAAGCATATGTATATATATATATATTTAGTTATAAGTCTGAAAGAACTTTCGATGTCCACAAAATGCGCCACCTGCCACGCTGTTCTGCAAACCATTCCAAAGCCAGCTTTCGCCCTATACAGCCAGAGTTCCAAAGTTCACGATTCACCGCGTTTGCCACGATCTCTTGCATTTGCCACAAGGTGCTGACTCAGTGAGATCACCAAAAGACAAATATTTTTCTGCCTACCACGACAAGTGACCGTCCAATGGCACAACACGAATTTGTACCAAGTGCCACTAGAAACAGGCACTTTGTGCTGCCAAGAGAAGAGGCCCAGCGACAAACGTGAACCCTGCCTTTCCTTCACCGTAAGAACACCTTAGTTGCGAACAGGCTTATAGTGGTTTATAGATGACACAGTCTCATCCATTTGTGGGAGCGCCCTACTTCTTCTCACTTCTGCTGATCCATCCGCATCGTGTTGATTTTCGCAGGGGTGTTGTTTAAATCTCGGGTCACCTGGCCAATTCTAGATGCCACGGGCCCACGGGTGCATTTTCTTCCAGAAGGTCGAAGAAGTGTGTTAAATGCACACTATGCAATTGGATTGCGGTGTTGGCAAAGCTTTCGTGCCACCCAGAGCAAGTCCGCGCACTGGTGTCAGAAGCGTCATTGAGAAGGTCACCCTTCTTTTGGTGTGACCCGCTTCAATGATTTTTTCTCAGAATACAACGCAGTCATTCGCCGAGTTCGCAAGGTTTGTGCCCGTTGGAGGAGTTCGTTGCCTTCGATCCGTCGGGTCGGTCAGCCTCCAACTCGATCAAGCTGGGTGTGTCCTGCGATTCGGTTCGCTGCGATCCATCTGGGAAGGATGTAAGCAAGCCAAGCACCAATCCTAAATCATCCTAACTTTGACATAGCTTGATTAAATGTGTCTCCTTCCCAGAGTGCAGTTGCCCGGCACTAGCAGAATGAAATCAACACTGCCTTGCTGACATCTTCCATGCCCGCACTTGCAGGAATGAATCAAGGCCCCCCATCGTGTTGCGAAGCAGATTTTTTTGTTTTGATGTTTCGTTTTGATGTGCCCTGCGTTGGAAATCACAACTTAGCGGCATAGGTGAAATTCAGTCCAATTCAAACAGTTGGTTGTTTGGAAGCTCTGGAGATGTTCTGCGGCCTTGCCCTGCATGTGCGCTCCGTCCAGCAAGCTCTTAGTCCTTGTCTTAAGAAATTCACGCTTGCTACAGATGCAAGTGAGGCCGAAGACACATCACATCAGTTTGTGATAAGTGGGAGACTCCTTTGGCTCTGAGAGACTTATATAGAGGTTCTCGTCCCATACAGCTGAAAGCTGCATCACTGCTGATGATGACCTACCTTTGGCTTGCTTTGACATCCTTGACATTGAACGAATGGATAATATCGAGTTATGATTTGTCCAGGTTGGATGCCAGACTTTTCAGTTGTAAGTTACTGTAGATCAAAAAGCAAGGGTGCGCAGTCAGATATTTTTCCATGCCAGCAGCAGAGCAGAACCGAGAGCAACAGAGGCTGGTTGTACAAAACAGCTTGGTCAGATGTGCAGCATCGTTTCATTTGCAACTTCAACATTTTTTGCACAGTGCACGCCTCAGGCAACTAAAATATGTGGGAACATGTGGACAAGAATTTGCATGAATTTGCCAAAGGAATGTTTGAGCAATTGGAACTGGAACTCGACTAACTATCCTAAGTTTTTGGAACGTGCACTACGATCATTTCGTCGACAGGTGTGCTATTTTATTTGCGTCATCACGGCTCCATTCCTCACTGACCGGAGATTGAGCCAGTGGGTACACTGTTACAACTTACAACATGCTAACGTTAGGGGGCCTCGCCAACAACGACAACCTATATTGCGACCTACTATAGTACTTCTCGATTGTGGCCGTGTGTGTGTGTGTGTGTCAACCCCTGTTCCGAAGGGTGCTTACACGCA